TCATAAGAAATGCCAAGGATATAGAGAAAAGGAAAAAAAGAACATGGACTTGCTCCAGGTGTGGTCATAATCTGGCTCAAGAAGTATCAAGGTAGCAGAGTCTCCTTGTTGTCTCTTCTCTTCCTTCTGATTAATGACCCTCAGGCTTATGTAGCATCTTTGCCTATTGCAAAGGAGACCTGCCCTATTTGGCCCTCTCCTTTTAAATGTCTAGGCCACTTGCTTCCTACAAGCCTCCTCAAAACCCAGTTTTAAAACCGTGGAGCAGGATTCTCTCAGAGGGACTTGGAGTTCTTCAAATGCTAGACTGACAGCAAGTCCTCACAGTCACACCTACTCAAGAGGCAGAGTTTTTAATCTTACTTTACAGATGAGAAAGTTGATGTCAGAAACATGATGAATAGGATTTTTAGATGCCTGTGGTGCTTCTTTAAGAGCAAATGATAGTGGTACTGTCTGAGCTCTGGGCTACAGGGTCAGAGGTGTCCCAGGTATTTCCAAAGGAGGCCTCCACTAGCTGACATCCTCATAGAACACCTCATCTCAGCAGAGTCTGTATAATGAGCACTTCCACTTGGGCAAGAAAACAGTCTTTGCAGGAGGGAGATACTAGTAAGTAACAAAACTCAACTATGGACAAACGTGAAAGTGGCTTTTCCTTTGAAGGTTTTACCAAAGTATTTATAGAAGCCAAGACAGTCCCTATAACTCATTTTAATAGCAATGGTTAAAGGAGCATCTAATTTGTCCATAGTCAAGTATTTGCATTTTTTAAATTTCCATGCATACAAGTGAATATTTTCCCTACCCTATGAATCTAAGAAATAAATACAAACCCCCCCCCAAAAAGAAATAAGTACAAAAAAAGATTAATTTTTTTATTCAAAATGTATCCCCACAAGATGATCAAAAATTCTGAGGCATTTTGGCCAGCTGAGATCTCCTAGCTATCAAATGCTTGCTCAATGTCAGTAGAGGGACATGGTAAAGAAAGCCCCCTACCCCCATTTCTGATCTGGAAGGCCTGGTTCTGATTTCTCATGCTGCCACTTACTAGCCTGGTGTATTTACGAAGGTTAATTTGTTTCTCTGTGTCTTAGTTTACTCAATCTTACAGAATGGCCATGGAGCTCTAATAACTATTGTTTTGCCTTTTTTTGGGTGGGATGACAGCAGGGGTATCATTGCTTGCTTTACTGACTGTTTCAGTAGTTAGGGTCATTATCAGGGTACTTCCCCTGCTACAGCCACCCTTTGGTAAGCGAATCTGTGGGGAATGAGTTCTAGGATCCCCAAGATATCAAAATCCTGGATGCTCACATCCCTTATACAAAATGGTATACTTGCATCTAACCAACACGCATTCTTTCCTACACTCCAAATCATCTCTATGATAGTGGTACTGATACAAATGTTATATACATAGTAGTTATATTATATTGTTTAGGGAATAATGATAAAAGAAAAAGGTGGTACATGTTTAATACAAATTCAATTTTTTTCTGAATATTTTTGATTTGCAGTTGGTTGAATGGACAGATGCAAAACCCATGTATGGAAGGCCAACTCTATGTGGCAAAAAATGAATTGCCTCTCATAGGTCTCAGAGAGGCAACTGAGAAGCATTTGGTGTGCTTTGTGGTTTGTGACAACTCAAGCAGGTACTCCTAGTTATTTAACCTAACTCAATAGGTTTAATGTCCATTTTAACTGTCTACTTGTAAGCATTTTTGCTCTCCATGTAGTTTAAAGAACTGGGTTTCATGACTGATAATTACTCTTGTTATACAGACATTATGGTCCCAAATTCTGGATGATTATTCTCTTGACTAGTTCAAAAAGTTTTCCCCATGGGGGGAAAAAAATTGATACTGATTCAATAAATGTTTCCTGAATACCTATTGGCAGGTGCATTGCTGGGCATGTGATAGATGGATGCAAAAATAAAAAATAAAAAAACAAGTGAAACAGGATTTTTAGCTCCAAGGAATTTCTTCTCTAGTTCTATGTGGTACCCAGGTCAGCAGGATCAGCATCATCTGCAGACTGGTTAGAAATGTAAACTCTTGGGCCCCACTCCAGGTCAATTGTCTGTCTGAATAAGCCCTCTGCAAAGATCACCCTCATCAAATGTCAAAGCAACACATCTATCATGAGCTTATGGAGCCAAATCATGAAGTATCTTTGTCCTTTTGAGGAAACAGGGGTCTCAGGGCCACATGAGAAACTGATGACAAAATTGCAATCAAAACTCAGGTCTCCCACCCAAATGGCAACTGCTCTTTCTACTTCTTTTCTGATGCTTCACTGTGTAAATCTGATGGGGAGCCCCATGTATGAACTAGCCCCAAAAAGGCAAACACTGATTTTCAAAGAGTAGAGAAAGAGAATTAGTACTCTTTGAAATAGGGCCACTAATAAAAATTAAAAGGTGATCTATCAAAATCATCCAGTAAACTAGAAGTAATTTCCCAAACCTTTAATATATATCCAAGTTCTATTTATAAGATTTGAAGATTCTGTAGGGGAAGGGTAGAAATACAATGAAGATGTGACTAATATCTAAAAGAATGTACAATTCAAAGAAATGTTAGTGATGGTTCATCATCTGTGGGAATTACAGATAATCTTTCTCTTTTTTTTTTCCTTTGTATTTTCCTGAATTTTTCCCAATACCAAGATACTACTTTTATATTCAGGAAAATAAAAAGAAGGAAAAATGCTTTTGGAAATGTTATAGCCATATCACTCAATATGCAGATTTATTTTGTATTTCTGTTTCTTTCCATACAGCAGGATAATGTGTATGTAGTAATTATTTATATCATGCCATACGTTACAGTGAAGATGAAATTCAGTAAATAGATTCCTTCCAGCTAGCCCTCAAAATAAAGAGGTTAAATGCATTTCTAGGTTCAAAGCACTAAGAATTAAGACAAACTAACTGAAGCTAAAGGAAAAAAAAATAATCCCAGTACTGAGATCTCAGAGCACATCCCTTTTCAAAAGCGTTTATGTGACACATGGCTCCTTATTCATATCTCTCTGATGCTTAACCCCTGGCACAAAATGAAATGTTCAACAATTCCTGGCAAAGTCTTCAGAGTTCAGGGGATAAAATGCATGGGAGAAGATCGGAGAGATAAGAAACAAAATGATCCTACTTTCACATAAAATTCAGTCCCTGGGGGACAATAAGACATTCAAAATTTCTGGCAAATTCCAACATCCAAAATATCTTTTATGTTTTTCCATTTCAAGAAATGTTTGCTCACTTAAAATATATTTAGTTGGCTATTTCATCCACAAATCACAGATAAATAAGTTGGACTCAGCTGAAGAAACATTTCTTTCACAAAAGCATTTTCATTTTTGGAATTTTTCACTGGATAAGATAAATTGATTGCCTCAAAAAAAAAGACTAACATTGTTTTACTGAAACTCTCAGCAGTACAAATACAGTGAATGTTAATTGAAATTTCTAAAAGGAAACAGGAAGTAAAGTTAAGAGCCAATGGAATGAATATAGGAAAGGAAACACCAGTAGCCATCTCCTTCATCAAAATACCCTGCAATTGTTGACATTTCTAGAATTTGCAGACTCTTTCAGGAAAGGACGAGTTATTGAGGGTAAACTCTCTCCAGATAGTTTATAGTCCATGAGGTCACCATATTTACACAACAATTAACCTTAAGAATAACAGAGAACTCAAAAAGAATGTGTGTTCCTGGTTTTGCTGGTTCAGCAAACAAGCTTTGGTTTACAAAGGTGTCTCTCTAAAAATAAATCTCTGAATTCCCTCAATCCTCTACTTTCTTTTGCAGGGTAGTCCTTCGCATTGCAAAAATTTAAAAATGAAGAATGAGAATAAAGACTGTACAACTTGGAAGGTTTCCCACCAACAGCCCAGTTCCCATTCCATATGAAAATTATTCTAGAAAAGTCATCTTGTCAACATACGGAGCTAAACCTTAACTATTTCATTTCAGTCTAACAATTTTTGACAGATCATGCACAAACTTGTAGCCCATTCTCTAATGCCATTCTGATACAAGCTCATTCATCTATTTCTCATTCTCTCTGGAGAGAGAAGGTCCACTGTTGGGTTTTACCTCATCCTGATGATTTTTACAGTTTTACTTTGGAGCTGCTAAAAGGTATTGATCAGAACTTACCTGAAGATCCTATTCCTAAGCATTGATAAACGCTGAGGGAACAATTCCAAGCCAACACCAAGATTCAAAATATCTTCAATTTGTAGTATAGAAATGCCACTCGTCTCAATGAAAGAAAATAATGTTCCTGCTCCATCAAATTAAAACCCAAAATACAGCAGCTTTCATTCTGAACAAAATTCAGTTTTCTGGGTCACTTTCCCCATCTCACTGGGCCACTTTTTATGCAGCCTAACAATGACTGTAAACCGGGTCTCTACACATAATCAATTTACTTGACATCCTCTCAGAGAGAATACCTACCTTTTCCTTTCCTAAGGCAGGTCCCAAATAACAGAACTCACCACCCGCCCCTGCCTTCCACACCTCACCACCGAGACTCGCCGCCTTCTCTTCCAAATCACAAAGGGGCGAGCTTAGTCAGAGAAAAAGTTAATGAAGGTCCGCTTTTGAGGCAAATTGCCCTGCCTGGGATGACAAAATCGAACGACTTGGAAGAACCTATAAGCACCTTCGCTCTGCACCCTCGTCCTGGTCGGTGAGCGCTTCACACCCAGAAACCCAGGAACATGATTTATATGCAGACCTGCACCCATCCCACACAAGTCCGCTCGCCAGCTTGTCTAACCACTTATGTAAGCTCGTCTTCCACAGTCCCAAACTGCAGACACACACCGGCACCTGTCACGCATCTGAAATGGACAAGCACCCACACCCAGGAGATGAAATCAACACATATGAATGGGTGTGTGTGTGTGTGTGTGGAGGGGTGCTGTTTCAAACCATCTTTTCCCCCATTTGTTTCCAGTCACAACTACAATTACCTTAGCAACCAAAGAATTGCCTTGACTCTCTTCGCTTCTCAATTTCTCTTAAAGCCAAGCTTGCGCCAGGGTCATGATAAAGCTAGAGAAGCCCAGGGAACCGGGAACCCGCAACCTCCTGGGGGCGGAGGGGAAGTCTAGTCCGTCTGCGCGCTGCCCTCCAATGTCTCGCCTCCTCTTTTCGACTTTCCGTGGTGGCGAGTGCAGGGGCTCAGCGAGCGGACAGCGAAGCCCCGGGCCCGCGAGGAGGCGCGGCGGGTCGCATGGTGCCAGGGCGCGGGGCGCTCGGGGTGTCTCCAGCGCGCTCCGGGCGGGCCTGGCTCTCCGCGCTCTCCCGCACTCGCGCTTCGCCTGCCTCTGCCCGCCCGGGGCCGGCGGGCTGCGCGGAGGTGGGTCCGCCCCCTCGGCGCCCGCCGGCTCCCGCAGCTGTGGGAACCCGGCGCCCGGGCGGAGCTCTGGCCGCGGAGCAGGGCCGAGCGCGAGGAGCTGCCCCAACTCGCGAAGCCGCTCCGCTCTGCCGCCGGCGAGCTGCTGCAGCGGCGCCCGCTGTCGGGTGCCGAGCGGAGCTGCAGCCCCGCGCCCTGCGCACCTGGGCGCCGGCACCTGGGTTCCGGTCCGCACCGTGCACGGAAGGGCGGGCGGCTGGGGCGGGGCCGAGGCACCTGAGCGCGTCCCAAGGGCGCCGCCGCTCGGCTCACCTGTTTCCAGAGCCGCGGAAGGTGCGGACCGGAGTTCACCAGAGGAAAAGCAAATCTGGAGATTCCTGGCACTAAGAAAACTGAGAGACTGATTCAACCAGGCGAAGATCCCTTTCGTCAGTTTTAGCTGTCCTGGTAGGGAAAGTTTAGTGGCGTCAAGGTGATCTTAGGGATTTCTGGCCGGGGTGTTGTGCCGGGGTAGCATTTGAATCCCTCACTGACGTGTAGCTGGCGCCCTCTAAATTAAAATGGGCCACAGTGATCATCACTGATATTGTTACTAACCTCGTCATTTTTATTTATTCAACATTTACACCACACGCTGTCTTTGGAGTGTTTTTGTGTTTGTCCTTATCTTAAAATACTGCAAAAGGGCTTCTGAGAATGCATATACAGCTATTTTGGGAAATAAGACAAAAAGTTGAAGACAAAGTGAGGAAGGATAACTTGAGTTGACCATTTTCTTCAATGTGGGAGTTTTGGAATATGATGTTTGAAGATGTAGGAAGCTGTGGATGGAGGTGCGACAAGATTATTGGTACCAAATGGTAACCGGGGGATCTGGGTGCAACATCAATGTTATCAGTATCAAGAATTTTTTTAAGTTGTATTATGTGTGGGGTGGGGAGACCTAACTGCCTTTAAGAATGGGTGAACTGGATTTTCTTCATTCATAAGTTTGCAGAGGTTGAAAGTTTCCTTTTCACCATGCATCTTTGGTCACTGCTTCTTATGCATAAATATGAGTCATGAGAAAACATCAGACAAATGCAAATAGAGAGAAAGTCAGGTAAGTGGCCTGTCCTCTTTTAAAAATGTCAAGACCAGGAAAGTAAAGGTTGTTCTGTGAGTAACGCAACAAGGCAACTAAATGCAGCTGGTGATCTTGAATGGGATCCAAGACCTGTTGATGACATTAATGGCATACTCAGCGCAGTTTCAATAGAGTCTCTAAGTAAGAAGGATTAAATTAGACCCATGTTACTTTTCTGATGTAGAGATCGTTCTCTAGTCATTCAGGAGAGTGTCCTTGCTTTCAGGAAGCACACTCTAAAGTATGAAGGGGTCAAAGAGTGCCATCATTTGGATCTGGAATGTGTCCATAGGCCCTTGTATTGGAAATTTGTTCTCCATTCCCTGGCACTATTGGGAGGTGTGGGCCCTTGAGAAGATGGGACCTAGTGGAAAGAAATTAGGTCACTGGGGCATTCCCTTGAATGCCAGACCTGGCCCCTTTCTGTGTTCCTGATGATGAAGTAAATACTCCTCCTCTGTCCTGGGGTTCCTGCCATGATGTACAGGCCCAAAGCAATAGGCGAACCAACTATGGACTGAGACCATGAACCAAAATCATTCTTTCCTTCCCTTTAAGTTGTTTATCTCCAGTATTTTGTCACAGTAAGGGAAAACTGACAAACACAAGGACACCACCTTTTCAGCTTACTCTCTGTGAGCTCAGGAATGTTGACACTTAAATGGAGACATAAAGGAGCTCTTTGAGCTACTTTTGCAAGATTTTTGTAATCTAACATTATTTCAAAATAAAAGGTTAATAAAGATACATTATGGTAGAATTGTTCTCCTTACTAAAATAAAAGAAAATAGAAAAACTCATCTTCACTTTTCAAAAGTGTTCACTATGGGTTTCCTTTAACAATCAACTCACTGTTAGCTGTACTGAAAATATGATTTGATCTGAAAGTAGTAATTTGCGAATATATACAATAATTCAATTCAATTCAACTTTTCATCCATCCACCCAGCAATTATTAATGGCAAGCCACTTGCAAAAGAATCTTTTCTGAAATTCATCTGAAGTATAAAATGAAATACATTTTTAAGTAAGTCCTGAATCTTTTGCCTGCTTCATTATCAGACAAGGAGCTATAAGAAAGTGTGTGATAGAATTGATTGTGGTGGACCTCTTAGACTGGGTGACAAATTGAACAAAAAAACGAAAATGAGTGGTAGTGTAGTTTTAATAACTGCATTGACAGGCGAAGGAGAAAAAGATTGCTAGTGTCAGTGCCTTTGATGCATATACATGGCAGTTTATTGGGGGAAGATAATGAGCTTGGGTACCAGGTGGCCCATTTCCCAGGACTGTGCACTTGTGACATTTACAGCTGATGCTCCTTTTTCCTCAAACCTCCATATTTTCTCTTCCTCCCATGTTACTGCAGTCTTTTTCTGATAGCTAAGTACTGTGTTCTTTGCATGTTGGCGATAAAAGAAGAGCAGATTCTGGATCCGTTTTGTATCATCTTAGATTGTGAAAGAAAATAAATATCCTGATAGGTACTTTAGATAAGTGTCTTCTCAAAGGGGGATTCAAAGGCCAGCATCAGTGTTCCTGGGGAACTAAACTAAAATTGGCAATAATGGTGCTCCAACCTAGAATTATGAAGTCCAAATTTCTAGTGATGAGACCTGGAAATCCACTTTTGAACCAGATTTGTGAACCACAGCTTGTGGGGTGCTAGCCCAGCATTCCTATTACCACTAATTGCATAATCTCCTTTTCAGGCAGGCTGATTACAGTTGAAGTGGATTTCTTCCCTTTCCAGCATTAGCACCTGATCTGCAGTTTTGAAAACCAAGTGACTGGGGAATGGATGTGTTTATATCATGATGCTGGGAAGATTATGTTTTGAGACTCTAAAGTCACATCAGAGTAGAATGCATATTCACAATGTTAATAATCAGGAAATGTATATGTAATAGTGTGAATGCTATGGGAGAGAGTCGACATTAACAATAACAAAGCTTTTTAAAACCTACATCAGGCCCAAAATAAGCATAGAATGCTGTTCACACCAAAGGTTTGAACCAAGCCTCTTCACCTAGGCACCTCCCTAGACACTGTTTCAATAACTGCCCTCGTACAGTCAGAATTGTCACAAAATAGGCAACTGTTTGTGAGATGTGACTTGGAGGGTTAATCAGAACCCCTTAAATCAAAAATATCTGTTCCTCATTCCCACTTTTGTCTTCCTCCTGCTAGGTACTGGGTTTCCCACAATCAATCACAGTTGGTTCCAGGTGTGTTTTGTTGGAACCATGGTAATTAGGCAGAGAATGTACTTCAACAAGAAGGCTCCTTTACTGAGTCAAAATATGCCAGTTACGGGTAAAACACTTGCCTGGCATGTGTGAGACACAGAGTTCAATTCTCAGTACTGCATATAAATAAATAAAGATCCATTGACAAGTAAAAATATGTACATTAAAAAAATGTCAGTTACAAACTTTAATCAAAAGTCTCAGTTACATAAGACCACAGGTAGCCCCCAAAACTAAGGACACTAAAATTGGATGCATAGCATGCATGTAAAACACAATGACACTCTCTTCTTCAAGAGAACCATTTTATTTAAATATTCATTTTGTAGTTGTAATTGGACACAATACGTTCATTTTAATGTGGTGCTGAGGATGGAACCCAGGGCCTCACATGTGCTAGACAAGCGCTCTACCTCTAAGCCACAACCCCAGCCCCAGGAAAATCATATTTTAATTCATTTAAGTCCTTTCGTGGGTTTTCAAAGAACCAGTCCTCAGCTCAGAGGGTACTCTTAGCCGTCTTTCGAATTCTGTGTTTGCTCACTCCACGTTGATATTTGAAGAACATAAAAATGAAATTTGTAATATAATTTGAAATCAGGAAGAGTAATGCTTCAAACTTTGTTTTTCTTTCTTAAGATTGTGCATTGACTATTCAGGATCTTCTGTGTTCTGTATAAATTTTAAAATCTTTTTTTTTTCCTATGAGAAAAATGACACTTGCTTTTTTGATAGTGATTGCATTAAATCTGCAAATTGCTTTGAGTAGCATGGACATTTTAACATGATTCATTTTTCCAGTCCATGAATATGAGATATCGTTCCATTTATTTGTGCCTTCTTCAATTTCTATCATCAGGGTTCTATAATTTTTGGTGTACAGTAACCTTCTTGGTTAGATTTATTTCTAAGTATATTATTATTTTTGACACTATCATAAGTCAGATTGTCTTGTTGGTTTATTTTTCAAATAGATTGTCATGGGTGTAAAGAAATGCAATTAATTTTTGTTGTTGAGTTTTTGAGTTCTAGTATCAAAACAGTAGAGTACTGGCATAAAAACTGACATATGGACTAATGGAAGAAAACAGAAAGACCAGATAATCTATAGTCAACTAATTTTTGATAAGGGCACCAAGAAAGCACAATGGGAAATTGAGAGTATCTTAAATAAGTGGTGTTGGGAAAACTGAATATCCACATGCAAAAGAATGAAATTGAATCCTTTTCTTACAACAGACACAAAAATCAACTCAAAATGAACTAATAACTTAAACATGAGACCTAAAATCATAAAACTCCTAGAGGAAAAGGTAGAGGCTTCTTGACATTGGTCTAAGCAATGATTTTTTTAGATCTCATATCAAAAGTAAGACTACAAAAGTAAAATTAAATAAGTGTGGACTATATCAAACTTAAAAGCCCCTGCACAGCAAAAGAATCAATAGAGTAAATGTATGATCTTTGGTATAAGAGAAAATATTGGTAAATCATATATCTGATAAGGAGCTTATGTTCAAATAGAGAAGTAACTCAATATAGCAAGAAAACAACCCAACTTAAAAGCAGACAAAGTGTCAGAGTGAAACCCATTAGTTTGTACAATTAATATTTATTGATAGGAAAGTATATTGGGTTGTTTACAGTTTGAGGGTACTTATGAACAAAACTACTATATATATTTGCGTACCCCAAAACAAAGGGTAATCAAAGGTTCTAAATAGAT